GGTAAAAAGTGATAGCTAAAAGCGGCAGAATGGTAGCTAAAAGTAGTGAGAAGACAAAACTAGAGTGAGCATGCTGAGCAGATTTCAAAGACAATATGTTGTCTATGTTGACTATGTTGCATCATAGTTTTTATTTGAATAATTTCATTATAATTAAAGTTATTTTTTCAAAAAGATTAAAAGTTACAAAAAACAATCAATTACACACTATATCACATCAAGCTGAGGGTTTTGATGTATGAATCGGTAAAAACAAATTTTGCAGAACTAATTACAAACAAACAAACAAAAAACAGACAAAGGAAACTATAAACAGGAAAACAGTGTGACTCAGTACTCACACTGTTTTATATAAACAAAATGAAAATAGGTTCAAATTCAGAGCATTTTAATTCGTTTCCATTTATTTCTCTTTGAGCCCTAAACCCAAACACAGCCAACAGCTCCATCTAGTGTCTGACCTCTGCAGCTGCAGTAGTTCTGCCTCATTTCTTCAGAGACCTGGGGGGGCTGCCGAGATGCTGCTGCCCTCAGGCAGTCCTCCAGTAAACCCCCCACCTCCATCCTGGGCCTGTGATGCAATCCCTGTTGACAGGATAAAAAAAAAAAAAAAATTATATATAATTATCAATATTTTCCTCTTTCTCTGATCGTCTCACCACTATTAGAAATGAGTGGAAATCCCATAAAGTGTCAGGTGAGGAATGATTGCACCATTTAGTATGTTTTATACCAGAACCAGAGCATCAAATATCAAGTCATACACTGACAAGAGAATTATAACATCTTAATAAATAAGAGATACATCTTTATTACTGTTGTAAAGTTAGTTCAAGCAAAAAAAAAAAGAAGAAAGTTTTCTAATCAAAAATGAAAAGTGGCTTTAATCTATTTTTAACATTTAATGTTGAATGTATCAAATAGTTTTCTGATTTTTCTGGCTGTTTTACCCCACAGAACAAATAAGAGAGTTACTTTTAATAAATTTAATTATTATATTAATGTAATAAACAGTTTATAACACATGGAATTGAAAGAGCTCTACTCTGATCTTAAACAGTAAAACTTTACAGGCTATGACAGCAGAATTATTAAAAATGACTAATAATACAGACAAAGAACATGTTTATCATTAGAACCATTAAATTATTTTACTTTAAAAACATTAATTTCGTAGTTTTAAAAAATCATTCTCACCAACCGAAGCTTCGGTACTTTCTGTGTTCCGGGTTGGGCGGGGTCACAAGATGCTGCTTTCAAGATCGTAGGAAATTTAACGAATAGAACTTGAGCTGGATAGTTGACTCAAACTTGGTCTGAGAGAACATTTCCATCAACAACAATAATAACGCCAACACCTCTAAAAATGTTACAAGCTTATTCAGACATTCTGTGGTATTTTTTAGAAGTTTTAAGTTTTGCAGAAAATCTTGACAATCTTTAGATACCTGTACAAATCCAGCAACAAGTGTAGGAGTTGTGCTTTCCTTGGTCTCTGTCTCCCTCTAGTGTTCTACATGTGTCTGCTTCCCTTCTGATGTTTGCACCTGTGATGTTTCACAGGTGTTCTGTGTTAGTCTCGTTAGTGTGTGTGTGTATTTAAGTCTGTTTGCCTGCGTCTCTCATTGTCTGGTGTCACTGCGCCTCGTGTCCTGCGCCTCGTGTCCTGCGCCTCGTGTCCTGCG